TGCTGAGGGTGTCAAGCCAGGCTCAGGAAGATGGGTGGTCTGCCCAGATCCCATATTGCAGGAAACCATGCTGAGGGTGTGGAAGCAGGCTCAGAAAGAAGGGGTGGTCTGTGCAGGTCCCATATTTCAGGGAACCATGAAACAGGAAACAGCTCCCTCACCTGATTGTCAAGGTCAAAGGTGGCCTCAGTCTGGATCTGTCTCACATTGCTCCCATGGCCTTTCTCAGTCATTGCAAACATCCCGGTACACTTCAGCTCCTGAAATTTAGGAAATATTAAAAGAAAGTTAGATGGTCAGAGGAACTCTAACTGAAGACCTCAGGCCACTAACAATATTAGCAAGGAAAGGAGAAGAAAGCCAGAAACAACCATAAAAACGTATTTTGTTGATGTTTATTATGCGCTTGGGAAAGTGGCAGGTGTGATGGTTCCACGGTTTAGAGTTCGTGCTGCTTTGCAGAGGACCTAGGTTCAGTTCCCAGCTCCCACGTAATAGCTTCCGACAATCCATCACTCGAGTTCCAGAGGATCCAATACCCCCTTCCAGCCTCTGAAGGCATTGCACACTCATGTGGCACACAAACATACAGCCAGGTAAAACATCCATATACATAAACAGTTTTTTAATCTTTAAAAAAATATGACAGATGTAGATATAGTGTAAAAAGATAGCCTTGAAATTCTCATTTGGGCCAAAATATTTGCAGACTTGAATTCTGTTTTGTTTCTAATCAAACAGACACACAAAAGTACTATGATTTTGTTTTTTTTAAATCTTCATGGGAAAAGCTATCTGCTAAGGTAAGCATCATACCTTGAGCTGCTGATACCACTTGATAACATGTTCAGAACTTCCAAGATTGAGGATGGTACCGCCAAATAGGAAAGAAATGATTCCACACTAGAAACAAGGACAGTACAAACAATGACGAGCCACAGTCAACAGCTTAGCAACAACTAGACCCATTGGTCAAAGTCTGCAAGGATTGATTTTGTTGTCATACTTTGTGTTCTGACAAATAAATCTTGCCTGGAGACCAAAGGGTGGATCTAGCCATGAGGTAACCATAGAGGTCTGAAGGGTTGTACAGACAGGAAGCGATCAGGCTGGGCAGAGAGAGGAAGTGATAAGGTGGGGCATAGACAGGATCTCAGCCCTTTTCCCTCAGAGGAGTTGGAGAGGTAAGAGGTGACTGTGGTCGCTACTTTACTTCTCTGATCTCTCAGCTTTTATCCTGATATCTGACACTGGGTTTCCATTATTAAGACTAATTAGGATCGCACTTCAGGTATCTCTAAGAATCCTTCACGCTACACAGGTCTTTCTTTGCCTTATTTTTTTGCGGGGAGGTGGGTTTTTTAAATTTTTTAAATTTTATTTATTCTTTTGTTTTGGTTTGGTTTTGGTTTTTTCCTCGAGACAAGGTTTCTCTCTGTAGTTTTGGTGCCTCTCCTAGAGCCCAAGTGTGGGAGTGAAAGGAGAGTGTCACCTCCGCCCAGCAAAGATTGTTTGCTTGTTGTTGTTGTTTTGAAACAAGGTTTCTCTGTAGCTTTGGGGCCTAATCCGGAACTAGCTCTTGTAGACAAGGTTGGCCTCGAACTCACAGAGATCCTCCTGCCTCTGCCTCCCCAGTGCAGGGATTAAAGGCGTGCGCCACCACCGCCCTCTCTGCCCTTTTATAAGCCCTGAGAAAGTGTTACTGACAGGGAAAGGGGGAGAGGAAAGGGAGGTGGGTGCAGGTTTAAAAAAGAGAAAGAGGAGAGGTACCCTAGTTTGATCTCTACCCATATGATAGACATTACAATCAAAAACAACTTGGGAGAGTCAAGGGTTTCTTTCAGCTTCTGGGTTACAGTCATCATCAAGGGAAGCCAAGGCAGGAAACTTAGTAAGCAGAGACGACTGAGGAATAGTATTGACTGGCTTGACCCCATGGCTTTCTCTTGCTCTTATGCATCCCAGCACCATCCACCCAAGATGGCACTGCACACAAGGGGCTGGGCTTCCCAAAGTTGCACCACCCACATGGGGCTGGGCTTCCCAGGTTAGCACCACCCACATGGGGCTGAGCTTTCCCACTTCAAACATTAACCAAGGCATGCTGGACAAGCCAATGGAGAGGCAATTCTTCAGTTGAGGGTCCCTCTTGCAAGTGACTCTAGTTGATGTCAAGTTGACAGAAACAAAGAGGAAGAAGAAACATCTAGAACAAAGCCACATGGAAGGCGACTGGCGGCAGAAACAAAGGGATGGAAGTGTGTAGATATTTGCTGGTGCTGAGCTCAGCATTCCCTCCCTCTCCTAGCCACATACTCTGAATTTCCCCTGAGGACCATCCTTACATGTGGCTTTAGGATGAGTGTGACCTACATATAGCTGAGCTACATCATCCCCAGAGCCATGAAGTTGTGGCTTCAGGAATAGACCTAGGAACTCAAAGGGCCCCTTCCAAGTGGCCACCAAGACACAATGGAATCCAGAGCCATGGAGACCTGAGGCAGCTGATTGCCAGCTCACCTCAAGGTGGCGAATGAAGCCAACATACAATAATGGGGTTGAAGAAAGAAGATGGCCAAGGTTTGAGAACTCAGGGTTCGCTCACCAGTGGAATTCTTTAATTATAACAATTAAGTCTATTTTGCTTAATCAAGTTTAAACTGGACCTTTCGGTGGGCAGGAGGGGTCCACTGTACCCTCACGTTTGGAAAATGGAATCAATCCAAAATGGTATTTTTTTTCCCTCTGTGTCTAGTTTAAAGGACAATATTTTACTCAAGTTAAGGCAAGTTGAATTTTCCTCTCCTAAATCTCTCTGGGTGATGGCGAATGTATACATTATTATATATTTCTTTTCTAGATTTTTAACTTTTTCCTCTTCCTTGGGAATGGGGAAAACTAGAATATTTTTGTACAAGCTTGAAAAGCTTCTGTTCACTAGCTACAGTAGTAAGCAGTTAGGCCAGGGTGGCCTGTGCTGCCGAAGGAGAGTGGCCAGTTTGTAGACAGCATCTGTGCCACTTCCCCCCACACAACCAAGAAATGTGCGGGGACTTCCCCCCACAGAAGCGGTCTCCAAACAGCAGACAACAAGACCCAGTTTACGAAGAGTACCAGAGGGTTCCTGAGCTGGTGACCTCTGGCCTGACATGGTCACAACAGTGCCTCGCAGGAGGAGCACAGTTTTCTAACCAGAAAAAATGAGTCAGGCAGGTAGGTAGTGGCGGTGAGGAAAGAAGTAGAGAGATTCAGGGTAAATTCTGGAGACAAGTTGATGAGTTGGATTTGGGAAGAGAAGGGGTACTCTGGGGGATACCTGGTCTTTGGCTGAGTGACCGTGTGCCTGAAAGCCCATTAGTTGTGATGGAGGAGCTTGCGAGAGTTGGCATGAACCAGATATCTTAAATGAAGCTAGAGGGACAGAGATACTGCAACTGGCCAGTGATGAACATATATCCAGACTGTCCTCCCAGAAGACACTGTGTCCACTGCTGTCAAAACCATCCTATCTCCTGTCCCTAGTAAACCTCAGGGACAGAACACTAAGAAGCCCACCCGTGTTGAGACAAACTGAGGAAAGCAGTTGAGACACCTTATGAAAGAAAACCCCAACTGCAAACACACACTCTACATGGACTGTTTGGGGTGTGTCTCTCTCCTTTTTCTATAATCTGGAGAAGAAAAAGGATGGTTGCGGCATCAGGAGTATAAAGCAATACCCACAGCATGCCCAGAAAATGCTGGCGGCAGCCTCCTCAGGCTACCACTGGAGATGCCTAAAGACTGGCATCTGAAGTCAGGACAGTATCATGAGACAAATGATGAGCCTTGGCCAGAGCCTCAGCGTACACATGGGGATGAGAAGGTGATTTTGTTCATCAGAGCAGAGTGCTTGTTGGCCTCACCTTAATTCACCAATGAAGCCACTACCTGGTAGACAATTAATGAGGGCTCCTGGGTGGAATAAAGAAGGCTTAGTCAGCAAAGTGCTTGCCTTTTAACCACAGGGATGCGAGTTTAATCCCCAGAACCTCCATTAAAAATATGCAGGTGCCATGACATGTATTTCTAGTCTCAGTGCTGGGAAAGCAGACAGGAGGATCTACAGGACTCACTGGCCAGCCAACCTAGGCTACTCAGTGAGTTCTTGGCCAATAAAGACCCTGTTTCCTTTTTTTTTTTTTTTTTTAAATATCCAGGAGCCAGCAAGATGGTTCATGGGATATTGTTGCCAAACCTGTTGATCTGAGTTCAGTCCCCAGAATCTGCATGGTGGAAGGAGAGAACTGATTCCAGCAAATTGTCCTCTGACCCCCATAGGCACACCATTATGCATTCATATTCTGTCTGTCTGTCTGTCTGTCTGTCTGTCTCTCTCTCCCTCTCCCTTTTTCTTTCTCTTCCCCAGCCCCTCTTCTCTCTCTTTGAATACATAAACAATCTAAGTATAAAAAATATGGCTGAGGAATGACACCACAGTTGTCCTTTGGCTTCCATACACAAGCACGTGTGTATCACAAAAGGTTACACCAAGAGGAGCAGTACTTGGGAATGTATTATCTCTGCCCACTTCCTGTCCTGCTCTTTGCCTCCTGGTCTGCTGTGCTATACACTCTTGCCACCGTGGCGCCACCTGCTTCACCACGCCTTCTCAGTCGTAACAAGCTGAAACCATGAACCAAAATAAATCATTCCTCCTTGGGTTGTTTTCAGAGGCATTTGGGTCACTGTAAAGCAAAGGTAGCTAATACCACTGAACTTCCATGTAGGCTGATGAGAAAGCAGTAGTGTTCTTCATGATGTGACATATATGTAAAAAATAAACAAATAAAAGTTTAAAGGGTTTAATTTTCAAAACCAAATATTTAAATTATTTAAATTAATGAAGGCAATGACTTGGGACAATATAGATCAATCTCAGTAGTGATATCTAAGTGAAGAAAGTAAGTCACAGACATTTATGGTACTGTCTTCATAAAATAAAGACAAATGAAGCTGGGGTAGTGGTGGTGCATACCTTAAATCCCAGCACTCAGGAGGCAGAGGCAGGCTGATCTCTGTGAGTTCCAAGACAACCAAGGCTACACAGAGTAATCCTGTCTCAAAGGAAATTAAGACAAATGGGAATAATTAATTAATACACGATATATGAATTAATGAAAACAATATGAAAAAACAAGCAAAACATCAGACTGCACTAGTGATCTCAGCACTCGGGAGACAGAGGCAGGAGTTCAAGGTCAGTCTAGGCCGTAGGAAAACTGTCTCAAAGCAAAGACAAGAGAATGGATGACAACAGTGAAAAAGCAGGAGAGCAGGCCTGAGGCAGCGAACTCCAGAGGAGCAGGACTGGGCCAGCACCTGCCTGCTTCTCACCTTCACACAGGTGGCCGTGTCCGCTATGCAGACAACTTCTGCCAGGGCAAGGCTTCGACTGATGAAATTCCTCCTTCTTTCTTCCTGAAAATATAAATATAATAGACCTAATGTCAAGATTTACTGCTGATCTTCTGACCTCGAAATATATATATATATATAAATTATTATATATATTTATATATGTTATTATATATTTATATATAAATTATTATATATATAATAATAGGTAATATACATAATACTTTCACAAAAAAAACCAACACAAAGCAATTTTAAGTTAGGAAAGCGTCTCATCGCTCTTCTGAAAATAAATGTTTTCATCTTGTGTCAATGTGGCCTTTGGTCTCTGGCTATTTGGGTGTGTGGTATTCAAGAACTTTTTCCTTTTTTTAAGCTTTCTAAAAAAAAACTTATTTAGGGGTATGTGCAACACAGTACATGTGTAGAGGTCAGAGGCCAACTTGCAAGCGTCAATTCTCTCCTACTGCGATGTGGGTCCTGAGGATCAAAACTGGGTCATCAGGGTGGGCAGCAAGTGCCTTTACCTGCAATTAAACCATGAAGAGCCTCACAACCTCTTTTCTTATACAACAAGAAGTCAGATTCTTGAGGACAGACTCTTTGTCCCCATACCCTATGTCCCCCAGGCTTTACTTAGCCTTTACCAAGCTTGTCCCTGGCTTCCCAGTATGTTTCCGCTGCAGTATAGGCAGTCAAAACATCCTGCCATGCTACTCCAAGTGTTCACACAGCAACACCGATGTGAAGAAAATCCTGTAGAAAACCTGGGAACATTTTAGATAAAGGAAAAGCAACGGTCTTCTCTTCATAAGCATAGGCCACTGTTGGGTTTGATTTATGATATTAAAACCATGAGGTCCTGGTCTGTCACAACATTAACAACTTCCAAAGTTCAGTGAGCAGACGGCAGATGGTTCTCAACTGTGTGTGTGTGTGTGTGTGTGTGTGTGTGTGTGTGTGTGTGTGTAATAGAGCAGGGCTTAGAAGAGTGCACAAGCATGAGGACCTGGGACTGGGGCTTGGCCAGGCGCAGTGTCAGGTGGGTGTCTGCAATTCTAGCAGCACTAGAGATTCTAGCAGAGACAGGAGGATGCTAGGGGCTCTTTAACCAGCAAATCTACTGAGCTCCAGATTCAGAGAGAGAGAGCCTGTCTCAAAATATACAGTAGAGAGTGATAGAGAAAGACATCCAACATTGATCTCTGACCTACACACACACATACATACACACACACACACACTTTTCAAAACAAGCCATTTCCAAAGAAGGTGATAGCCCATTGAGTGGACAATTTGCAATTCTTCATTATTGGAATTCATGTTAGCTATCTTCATGGGCCAATTTCTTCTGAGTCCCCCACCAACAAAACCGATACTGATTGCTTATGTGTGCAAGTATGTGCATCTATCTGTGCACACATGTATTCATGTATCCAGGTGTGGACACATCTATCTTGTATGTATTGTGTGCATAAACCTCCACATGTATGTGTGTGCATGTTCTTATATATACATATGTGGATATATACATATTCCTTTAAATATGCATGTATGTCTTAGTGTGTGTTTCTATACACACATTCACATGTGGGCATGCTTGTACAGTGTATTGCCCCATCGGCAGCAAGACAAAACCAGCCTTCTTTGGATGACAACTTCCACACTGGCTTCAACTCTCTCCCTAGGCATCCTTCAGATTTTTCCTTCCCTCAGGCTTTTACAATGTTTCTCTCAAGTATTATTAATTCCATCACACACCATTCTGTCAAGATGTATGCTTCTCAACATGGCTGCAACCCAACACATCTTGTATTGATTATTTCCTAAAATACCTCCAGGCTCTTTCAGAAACCATCGCATGGCTCCAGCCCAGGGTTGCACTGAAGAGTCCATTACAAGCAGATAATGAGAAACAACTGTAGCAGATACCTGTAGACTTTCAGTGTCCTCTGTTTCACCAATCCTTAGAACAACCCCAACCCTCCATAAAAGATGGGAAAGCCTATGCTCAGGAAAATCAAGTGGCTAACCCAACCAGAGTCACCTGAGGAGTGTCCAAACAAGGGTCAGAAACTAGAACTTCAGAGCTCATGAGGATGTCTTGGGACCACTTCTCGCTGTCCTGCATTATTAAGGACTCTGGTCACTCTGTCCTCACCACCATTTTATTTCGTACCATCAGAGAGGACTCAACATCATCCTGCCAAGGTGCCCCCATGTCACCTTTCTGAGTCATGCTATCTATAGTCACATGGACAAACATTCCTTTGCTTTCAACCACTTGCTCTGCCTTTTCTAGACAATAAACCATCAAAGGGATGTGCCTAGTGGCATGTGCCTGAAATCCCACACACAGGAGGCAGAGGAAAGATCCAGGTCAGCCTGGTCTGAACAGAAATTTCACACCACTCAGAGCTACAGAGAAAAACCCTGTGTCTAAATAATTATTAGATAAATAGATAGGTAGGTAGATGGATAGATAGATAGATAGATAGATAGATGATAGATAGATAGACAGACAGACAGACAGACAGATAGATAGTGAATCCCTTAGAAATAACAAGAGTAGATGGTTTTCTTTATTCTGATAATTCACACTATTGATACAGGAATATAATTTTGTTACTAGTAACATCCAATTGTGGCCATTTTTACTCACAAGTTTGAAGCTAAGTGCAAGCACATGTGTTGAATCCACCCATCTTGGAGCATTTGAAATTGTTTATTATGATGACTTCCCTTCCCCTGTCTCCACAGGAGACAGCCATGTTTATTATTAGACCTGATGGAAACGTCAGTAGGAGTTTGCCATTCCCTGGCATTAACTCGAGTATGTGCTCAGGCTGGTTCGTTTTCAAGAAGTCAGATCAAAGTTCTGAAACCTGGACTGGGCTCCACTTGATTGACCATATTGCTGGCATATATTTCTAACATCATCTATACACATAATTTTTTTGTCTTTAATTAACTAACTGTTTAAGTAATAGTCATTATTGGCAAATTTACCCTCTCATTAAATTGGCATCACTAGCTGCATTGGCTACATTGACTGAGATCAATCATTAATCTATGTATTTTTTACGTCTTTTTAAATATGTCTGCTATATCAATACCTACCTTCATTCACATTTGATATATTCAAACCAAAACTCAATGATTATATAGTCATGTAAATTTACTATTTTAAAGGGTAGTAAATCCATAAATGTATAAACAATAATTCAAACTTTTATTATATTTGAACTTGAAGTCCATGCTATCGAACACATCTGTGTAGTAAGTTCAGCTTCAAACAGAAGGAAGACAGTTTGTCCTAAAATACTCTCCTTTAGGTTTTTTACCGCTGAGTAAAACTAATGTGTATATGTTCCACACCTTTTTTAACCATTCTTCTATTGAGGGGCACCTAGGTTGTTTCCAGGTTCTGGCTATTACAAATAATGCAGCTATGAACATAGTTGAACAAATACTTTTGTAGTATGATAGAGCATCTCTTGGGTATATTCCCAAGAGTGGAATTGCTGGGGTCCTGAGGGAGGTTGACTCCCAGTTTCCTGAGAAACCGCCACACTGATTTCCACAGTGGCTGCACAAGTTTGCATTCCCACCAACAATGGATGAGTGTTCCCCTCACTCCACATCCTCTCCAGCATAGGCTATCATTGGTGTTTTTGAGTTTAACTATTCTGACAGGTGTAAGATGGTATCTCAAAGTGGTTTTGATTTGCATTTCCCTGATCGCTAAGGAAGTTGAGCATGTTCTTAAGTGTCTTCTGGCCATTCGAAGTTCATCTGTTGTGAATTCTCTGTTCAGTTCAGTACCCCATTTTTTAATTGGGTTAATTAGAGTTTTAGTGTCTAGTTTCTTGAGTTCTTTGTATATTTTGGAGATCAGACCTTTGTCTGATGAGGGGTTGGTGAAGATCTTTTCCCAGTCTGAAGGTAGCCTTTTTGTCTTACTGACAGTGTCCTTTGCTTTACAGAAGCTTCTCAGTTTCAGTAGGTCCCATTTATTCATTGTTTCTCTTATTGTCTGTGCTACTAGGGTTCTACTTAGGAAGTGGCCTCCTGTGCCTATATCTTGTAGACTACTTCCCACTTTCTCTTCTATCAGGTTCAAAGTGGACAGATTAATGTTGACATCTTTAATCCATTTGGACTTGAGTTTTGTGCATGGTGATAGATATGGATCTACTTTCATTCTTCTACAGGTTGACATCCAGTTATGCCAACATCATTTGTTAAAGATGCTTTCCTTCTTCCATTGTATGTTCCTTTGGGGCATTTATGTAGCAGATCTCTATGCTGTGATATTCTGCTACAAATTCTGGGGAGGAAAAAAAAGTCTTCTAAACCTAGAGGTGTCCCTGAAACACATGTCCATTTCCTCAGTGAAAATCAATCAGGTTCAGAACTGTTGGAAGTGAGGGATTTCTGTTGCCTTCCCTCAGATGCTAACATGCCCACAAGGACTCCTCCGCACCCACAAGCAGCCTGAAGTAGGTTCGAACCAGTTGTAAATGAGGGTCTTTTGGTACTGTTTCCCCTTGAAGATGCAGCCTTCTGTCGGCCTTGCTTTCCCACCCGTGGGCTGATGGAGGACAGTACAGCAGCCTGCACACAAGACTACCATTTGTGCTCAGCTCAAGGCCATTGTTATTTTATAGCATTTTTGACATTTCACATCCATGAAGTAGAAATCGGGGCCTGCAATGGGCACCTTCTCTTGTGTTTCTTCTTCTTTTCTAAAGAGGGATGAAGGAGATCATTTGTGAAAAGCATGTCCTCATGGGAGGTCATGACCAATTTTCCATTTTAATGAAGACCAATTTATCACTTTTTGCTTATACACATTCAACGGGACCTAGGGGGTGCACTCTCTCTCCCTCCCTCCCTCCCTCCCTCTCTCCCTCCCTCTCCCTCTCTCTCTCTTTCTCTCCACCTCTCTAAGGAACTCTCGCCTATCCTAAAGTCAAAAAGATGTTCTTTGCTCTTCTGTGAGCTGATCTTAAAGTTTATGTTCCAAAAAACTATATAATACACTCAAATTATTTTTGCAT